TGATGATGATGATCAGAATATTTATTTATCCTGGAGAAATTCGCCGACGACGACGACGATGATGATGATGATGTAAAGTGGAGCCCCTCGCCCAACAGGTGCCTCCTCCGTCAGGAGGCGCTGGACAGCTTCGCCCTGGCGCTGCCAACATCTGTGAGACGAATCGGCGACCTCCCAGCTGCCTAATCCACAATTATACAGAACATCAATAACAGCGGCGCAAGCCGGCGTTTCGCCACGCACGTAACTTAAGCGGCATTTCAGAACATTATTTTTTTTTTAACTGTTAATCTTTCATATCAGATACACGCGTACACGCCGCGTGTGTGCGCGCAGCTGCGGGTCGTGGGGGAGCTGCGAACCGGGCGATCCGAGTTCAATTCCCGCTCGCGGCCAACACCGGTGACGATTATCTGAACCGGTCCTGGGCCTTCCCTAGATTGATTCAGCCACAAGTGAGTACCTGGGGCGGTGTGTAAAACATTGCCACTGGGGAGACAAAGGTGGCCGGGCGTGGTTCTGGCCAACCCAACCCTTCGTGTGCCGTGCTGGCCTTCATAGGTGCTCGCCAGCAGTCTGTACGGAGATCGTTGTCTTTGTGTCTGCCAGTCAAAAGCGCGTTGCTCTCAACGCGCTGTTAACGCGGCGCACATCACACGACTCGCCACGGAGCCCTTCGTATGGCCTTGGCAGAGCGGCCGTTTCAAGACGCAAATCAGTCGCCCACAAAATCCACGATGCCTACGTGGGAGTGCATGGGGGGGGCAGCCCCCTTATACGTTTCCACGGTACAATGAAAATATATTTTTTTATTTACCAGGTAAAGCCCACTAAGCTATGTAGCTCTTTTTCAGAAGCGACATGGCCACAAATTATAGCTCAACGAAGTGGCTTACCATGTGGAAATAATCTAAACGCATGTTGATTCTAAATGTGGAGGGGAAAACCTGGGCACACGGAGAAAAATCCACGCGACCACCACGGGGAGAGACGTGAAAACTCCAAATACACAGCAGCAGGCGTCAGGGTCGGGATCGAACCCACGACCTCCTGTATATCTGGCGAGGTAGCTAACATCTCATAGCCATCGCGGTGCCGCGGTGGCCCTGTACAATTCCCAAGGTACTGTTACACAATTAAGCGATGCTTGTCATGGTATTTCCTCATATACATAGGAATGGTGGTTTCTAACACTGGCCCGGGTCTATTTTCTTCTAACACTGTCACTGATTTAAGCAGCAGCGAACCCTGGACCCTGGCCCATTGTTGTTTGATAGCTCGGTTTGTGGCGAGTGTAAGCTCAAGAGCTAAAGAGCCAGGCTTTTGAAACGTGATATTTTTCTCTCTCTCGCTTTAAACAGCCAGAGGGAAACACATTCTATTCTTCTGGCACAGATTTGCAGCATGTTTGGTCACGAGGACAAACAAATTATTCAGGTTGAACCAAATGCGACTCTGGATTTCTGCCACCCATCATCTCTTGCCCCCAAGTACGTTACAAACTTGGTCAATTCAAGAAACGAATTAATCCCTGCCTAGCACAACATCAGTAGTGCTGTTTGTTGCTGGCTGCTTGGCATTGCTGGGCCTTTGTTCAACAAATGTGATATTAAAACAATATATGTGTATATATGTGTATACGTGTGTGTGTGTGTCTCGCCACCTGACCCGACAGCCGTCTGCTCTGCCAGTGTGGTGCCCGCAATCTTATCGAATTGCCACGGATCTTTTTATCCGGACGGAATTTGTCGGCCCAATAGGATCGTGTCTACCCAGGTGGGTCCGGTTAGTGGCGAACGTAAACATCCTGTTGCTGGCCAGATTTTATGTAAAAAAAAAATTGTAATCATATTGCCCTTATTATTTAATTGCACAAATAAGCCCCCCGCCCCGCCGCACACCCACTAGAAAGTAAAACCGCAGCGTTTACCCCCCCCCACCCCACCCACCGACCCCATTCCGTTTTCCAAACCCTAAACCAAGTCCCAGCGCGGTCAGGTGGCTGGACCCGGATCCGCAATTGGCTGCACGACCTTGGTTCTATGCTCAGCGCTGGCCAATCGCAAGGCGTACAACAGCAAAACGAGTCAAACTTTCGAGAGAAAAACAGCGACGACGCCTCCGACGTCTCCTTAGCTATGGGTGGCCCGCAGTGTTTGCGGGGCAGGCGCAGGTGACGTTTACTTCAAATGTTATTTGAACAACAGCGTTTGGGGGGATGGGGGAAGGGAGTTGGTCGAGGGTTTGGAGGGAGGGGGGGAGGAAACCACACATGGGCCCTCGCAGGTTGTGGAAAGTATTGTAATCTGGTGGAAAATTACCCAGGGGAACATGCGGGGAAAAAATACGTTTGTTGAAAAAAAAGTCTTTGTTTTGATGGAAAATATATTATTATTGATCCATGTTTCTTAGCAAAAAAAACCCAGAGATGCTTTAATTAATTAATTGGCTAAATAAATCAAATATAAATATGGCACGGTACCGAAAAACTGAGATTTGCCCATGATAGCATTTGGTTTTGTATTTGTAAACATAAACAAAACAATCATCAACAGGTCTAGGTCAAATGGTAATTTGGTAATGCCTTGAGCTAGCGGTGGAAATTCCACATTACTATTGGAAAGGACAGTCTCTCCCTCAGGAAAACCTTTGTTGTATGTATGTCGAACTTCATTCGCAACATACGTAGCCAACTATGCTAATCGGAGGTAGTATGGGATTTATCAACTCCCAAGGAGATGATGGACTTGGATGGCCACCAACTGCTATTTTTATTTACAAAACCCTCCAGCAAGAATCAAACACCTTGCTGCAATTGAAATCTGTGTAATAATAACAATAATAATCATTTACAGCCCTTCATCAATCTTACTGCTGGATGAAGGCCTTCTCACGTCGGGTAAGTATTGGAGGTGGGGGGGGGGGTGCTTGACCATACTTGACCACAGTGGTCAGTGTGGGTAGCAACAATTATTGACGTTACATTCTTGTGATGCGCGCACGTGAATCTCCCGCCACGTAGATGTTCGTGGTTGTGTGGCTGCATACGGCTCTCCGATGCGTTTTTGGATCAGTTCGGCACGACGTCCGACGTTTTCGCTCCACATTCTCGGAGCTTCTTCAGGAACTGAATATGCCATCGCGAGAGACGCGGTACGACCCGAAAACGCATCGGAAACCCGTGTGTGCATATGTTCAGACATGCCCGGTCCTGTCACAGAAGATGAACCGTGTCCCGGCATTCCAAGAGTATAACCGGCATCAGCCAGAGTTTTAAAAAATAGCAAAGCGTTAAGTCGGCGTGCGCAGAGTTATTAAAAAAAAAGACGGTATCAAATTTCTTGGGCAACAGCGCAGTGACAAGCGCGCAACAGCTGATACGTGACCTCCACACTCGGAATCACTTCTGCAGCAGCAGCAGACAGGCACGGCCAAGCATCGCACCTCTGAGTCACCCATTCCAAACCCGTGATTCAGAGCAATTGGTAGCGCACAGTGCTGGCCTTGTTTTTTTTACTCTCAATTAAGTCTTTTTAAAGTCAAATGAGTGAACACTTTTGTTTTTGCATGTATTGCTCTTGAGCCCAACTCGTCAGGGCCTCTTTATCGAGTCCTTAAATAATCACCGGTGGTTGTTTTCCTTTGACATTCATAACCACAACGTTGTCAGCAAATCTGAGTCGGTTATATTATCTCCGTCTATGTTCACGCGTGTGCGTCTCCCAATTCAAAAGTCGCGCTTCGCGAGTTCGCAAAATGATCCCAAGAAATCCGTGTGTGTGCGTATATTGCACTTCTTTCGCACCGAGTCGTCGTGGGCAAGAACACCCTCAACTGAAAAGGCACGATGGCAAGTGGTCGAGACTAATGGTGGAGTTGCAGCCAAAGGAGGTAGCATACCAGATATCAGCTTGTGCGCAGTAACTACAGTACATGGATTGTTTAATTGATCAAGAGCCCTGCTTCTAGTCGTGAGTAGTTCATCACTGCTGATGATAATGAACTTAGCACTAGACCCAGTTCAAATCTGGGTCGCAGTGCTAACAGATTTGTAAAATGACTACCGCTTTGTGGTAGGTCAGCAGATGTCGACAGCGGAAAAAATATCACCCCCACCCCTCCCAAGCAGAGGAATGTGGAATTTCCGATGCTGGAGGAGAGCCTTCAGTGAAGATGAGCAACACCCAATGCATGATCCGAGCAGAAAAACACACACATATACGCGCACACACATAAACCCCCCTATAACCTTAACAGACTGTTGGGGCAAGTGCTGTTAGGCGAGCACCTTTGAAGGCTGGAATGCTACCGGTGGGTGGGTGGAAAACACATCGCACCAGGTACTCATTTGAGGCCGAATCGACCCAGGGGAGGTTCAGAACCAGTTCAGATATTCGCCACTTGTTAGCGGAAATCGAACTCGGGTGGCCGGGTTCGTCGCGCGACGCGCTAACCGCTGCGCCACCGTTCCCCACACACGCACACACGCACGTGTCTAGAGATTTGTTTTGGTGCCAGCATGGTGAGTAGCCGGCGAATGAGGTCAGAGCCCGAAAGGGCGACTCGCCGTGCAGCAGCAGCAGCACGGCGAGTCGTCCACTGCGATGCATTGGCGCTCTCAGATAAACTTATGGGGGGGGGGGGGGGGTAGATAAAAAATAAGTCACTCATTTCGAGAAACAGACGATCGATTACATTCACCTTAAGTTTGCATGTGCTCGTATTCAAATGAGAATTAAATATAACTTAAATAAAATTCGCATTAAAAAAATCGTTACAGTATTTACGAGCAATTTTGCACTCAAGAAAATAAAATCATCTGCGACGAACGTTGGCCTAAACGAATGGGTACATCTCTAGTTTGCGTGCATCCCCCAAAGTGGAAATTCCACATTAGCACGGCAGAGGCAGCTGAGCCATTTAAACCACCACTGTCGACTCGCCGCCAAAGCAGTGCCTCGTTTTACTCACTTCGCCACCCAGCTCATAGTACACTCTTAACAATAATAATAATCATCATCATCAATAACAATAAGAAGTTAACGATCTGCGCGCGTGCCAAAGCGCTGCTCCCCACTTATCGCGGGGGGCCCTGGGAGGCCGTGGCCACGTGGTCGCCAACCCGGAAGTGACCACGCGGAGGAGGCGGAGGCGGCGGCGCTGCTGCGGCCTTCGTCCGCGCAGCGGCCACGTGGTGAGAGCCGCGTGGAGTGGCCCCAGCTCGGCTGCGTCGCCCTCTCACCTAGCGAGCGTCAAGGCGGTAACAGTGACACGGGAGGTGTCGGGGTGGACAAGCCCCAACAAGGGTGTCCGTAGATCCTCTGTATCGGCTTGAGCCGAGCTACGAATGCTTTGGCCGTTGCATTGCGCTTGTACTGTTCGCCTTTCGGCGCTGTGCGCGATTCAGCACCCACCGCTGGTGAGACAAGGCCACGTCTCTGGTGATCGCCGATCTGTTTCGAGGACTGCACACATCAAAAACACGTGTGTGTGCATGCTGTACCACAAGGTCATTGTAGACTTGGATGCCTCGTTATAACGAATGTCTGTTTGCTAATTGGACATCTTAAAACCTCCTGTATTGCCCCTTTTGATCGCTTTGAATACGTTTCGCATTTTATCCGAGACAGCCCTGGCCAAGGTAAACGAAACGTCAACTGCGCATTAGAACCGGAACTCACCGGGATCGCCTGAGCGAACCGACATCATTCCTCGAGAGCAGTTGTCGAACTCGCGAGGCAATGCGTCGGGGAGCGTGCTTCGTAGGCGCTCTGTTCGCCGTACGGGAAATGAATCCCGTTTCCCAGAATCGGCGTTTCAGTTTTTTTTTGTATTCCCCCCGACGCCAGCTGCGATGGGAATGTGGCAGAGGTACGGCAGGCAGGAGCCTGTCCGTGACACCACGCGGACGCTGAACCTACGTGACCTTTGCCTTACTCGTCGATCTTCTTCTACAAACCATTCAATGTTTTAACCAGGTATGAAAGGCCCGCTGAGCGAAATAGCTTCTTTTTTGTTGTTGTTAGAAGCGACCTGACAATCACACATGATAGCTCAACGAAGTGGCCTATCGTCGTGTGGACATTTAGAGTAGCAGCCGAAGACTGTGAACTCGCGTTGTTTATTTAATGTGGAGGGGGAAACCCCGAGAAGAAAATCCACACGACCACGGGGAGAGAGAGAGACGCGCAAACTCCAAATACACAGCAGCAGGCGTCATGCTTCGGAGTCGAACCCACGACGTCCTGTATACCAGGCGAGGTAGTCAACATCAACGAGTCGATGAATGCTGAATCTAAAATGCAAAGTTGATCAAAATATATATAAGTAATATAACAAGGGACAAGGAATTTAAAATGATTGAGTGGACGTCTGTGCCGGCAATCCGAGCCATAAACTCTTCTCGATTAAGTTACTCCGGCGGAATAGCGGCAGCACCGGCGGTCATCCTGTAATTGAGCGCCTGCGTCCCCTCCAATGTTCTTGCGATGTCGAGGGACGAAAGCGAACTCGGAGGGCTTCAGCAACGCCCCCTCCCCCCATCGCCCTCGGTTGCTGTTTGTCAGCTGTCCTCTGGCAGGCCGACACGAGGGCAGGCGAAGGGTATTTATTTTTAAGAAATATTGTTTTGCTTAAGGGCAGAGTTTAGGCGCACTGCTAGTCCGCCAAACGTCGCTCACAACCACGCAAATTGACCCGTATTTCACCGCTCTTCACTGCTGTGTAAAAACAACGCAAGGCGAGCAGATGTTTTGTCAGCGGACTCGGAGCGAGGGGCCGATGGGGTTCTGTCGTCATCTCTGCTGGAAACCCTGAGCCAGTGGTGGGAGATGATCTATGTTGTTAGGGTGGAGCCAGTCACCCCCGCAAGGACTACAACTAAAGTAGACTCTCGATTGTCCGCGTGCGGTTTATCTCATTTACGGATTAACCGGGCACCTGAGATTTTGACATGAGTTAATAACTCGTGGATTTTTCCCTTAAGCCCAAATTAATAATGCAAAAACAGTGATACATTGTTATTCTTTGAAAATGTGTATGACTTGTCACGTGCTGAAACCGAACAAATATGTTGCTCCGGATAATCCGCAATCCACGTGATGCCTCTACAGTACAGTAGTTGCACAACTTTCCAGCAGTAGGCGGAATTTGATTGATGTTGATTGGCGTGGTGCTGCTGCTGTCCACTTGTGGGCCGAGTGTTCTGCACGGGAGCAGGAAAGTGTTGTCACTGAGCACGCTCGTCGATCGGTCGCTCGTATATTCGTGGTTTTTGGCATAGAGATCTGCGACAAATGGTAATGTTTTTGGATTAGTTATCCGCGATTTTTTTATTATCCACTTCCGTCCTCCCCGTCATTAGCGCGGGTAATCGGGAGTCTACGTTATTTGACTTCCCATAAGAGCGAGCGGTGGCTCATTGTATCGACTTGAGGTGTCCAAGTGGCGTGTGTGTATGTATGTTGAACTTCTTTGGCACCGTACGTAGCCAACAGTGCTCATCGGAGGTGTGGGAAACGGGGGGTTGAGACGGCGGCAAAGATGCTGTAGGGATTACGTCGATACGTACGAACGAAAATGCCTCGATAACATGCAACCTCAAGGGAAAGCCAATTGATGTGAATTGTTTATCTTAAACTTACACGGTCGTGTGTCTAAAATTGAGAGCTGAACCAACTCTTTATTTTGCTCAGTTAATGCCGTTAAAGCGATTTGTCCTGATAAAACTTGTTAGCACGTGGCACACCATCACGGGAAGGGGAGCAGAGTTAAGGACATACACAGTACTCCGATTAGCACGGTTGGCCAACGTAGGGTGCGAAAGAAGTTAAACATGCGTGTACATTTGCACTGTTTGGGAAAACAAACGAAATAGCAGTTTAGGGGAGGGATGCCGGCACCACAGTCCCCGAGACGGACAGCGAGGAGGGCACGGCTCAAGATGAGCAGCAGCAGCAGGAAGAGAGGAGGAGGAGTGTCGGTTGGGGAAGGCGAGGAGGAGGAGAGAGAGAAGTGACGGCCAGGCCGAAATGTTGAGGGTGAGAGAGTGATGGTGATTATGAGAGCGCGATGATGATGATGATGAGGGTGATGATGGTGGTGGTTATGAGAGGGTGATGATGAGAGGGAGAGAAAAGGAAGGAGAACAGAAACGTGCGTTTAGAGTATTTGTCTGCTATACATTTCCACGTAATAAGCCACTTCGTTGGACTATCATTTGAGGCCAAGTCGCTTAAGAAAAAGAGCTATGTAGCTCGGTGAGCCTTACCTGGTAAAATGAAAAAAAATTGGTGTAAGCGTGCACTGCTTCATCGATACGTGAAAGCTGAACAAACTAATGTTTTTAGCAGCGGTGCCTTCATCTCCAAAGTGATTTGTGTCGATCATGTATCCACGCATGTACGCCGAACATCTTTCCCACCATACGCAGCCAACCGTACTAATCGGAGGTACAAACTTACATTGGTGTATCACTTAAAAACTCCCTAATAGCAACGCGCAAAAAATAAAAACGCGACGCGTCAACACCGGGGGCCTGAAAGGAAAACGATGGACGTTGACTTTCTGCTGCGCTCGTGCACCACGGCCAACGCGGCAACATCACCAAATTATTTGTTGAATGGCAACACAACTTACACGCAAAAGGTTTTGTTCGCATCCGATCATCGTTACAAGAGTCATCCTGACCCCACGTTGACTACACACACACACAGACAGATGGGCGGATGGACAAACAGGACGCGGATGGACAAACAGGACGCGGCTAACGAATGGCACACGATCTTTCTCTTTGCCAAGTTTTGTTTTTGTTCTGAGGAAAAGGAATTTCAACCCCTCCCCCCCCTACCCAGCCACACCTGAGCGTCAGGGATTGCTGAGCCATTCCCGCTACAGGTGACACCTCGGCACTCTTACACCGGGGTCTGTACTCCACGGGAGCGTTTTAACAAACAGCCCCGCCACGCGCTTCAGTTTACGCACTGCCTATTACGAGCGGTTCAATTATTCAAGAGCAAACGCCGAAGCTTACTCTGTTAAATATGACGATCGACACTCGTTTTAAATTACTTGCTAATGCGACGTCAATAATGTAGTTGTGTTTGTGTGCGCGATTTATTTAATTATTTGCCCCCCCCCCCCCCCCCCTTCTCTCTCTCATGCTAACATGTGGGCACTTGGCTCCTGTCGAGGATTGATTTTGGTGTCGTCAAAAAGTCAAAACAAAAAAAGTTCAAAGTCATTCCCTTGCCCCAACTGTACATCTGTGGAAAAAAAGAGCTTTATAGCTCATCGGATTCCTCCAGTACAAATAAATATTCTGATTCTGATCTCCTACTCACAGCCCTGAGCCAGTGGTGGAAATTCGACATTATTATGTCGGGGGCGAGTGAATCCATTGGCTTGCCCACGGGGTAGTTATTTAACTCGGGGCGTGTGTTGTGCCACAGGCCGGGCAGCGGCTTCGTCGTCTGCAGAGCGTGTCGGGTCTCATCGTCCCCCGGCGCTGGGCTTCGTTGGCGGACACGCAAAGTCTTCAACAATGTACGCCATCGTCTGTCTTGCACCACAGCCCCGCAAAGTGGTACCTGGTTTATGATGATGGGCTGGATCAATAGCGAACCAAGATTCGAACTTGCAACCTTTGGTTTTTGTACACAGGACGCATGCCGTGGGTGTGATGTCAAATGTGTGGATTATTAATGGAGGCTTCATCCAAAAGACGGGAAATGACTCATATGATTGTCTACCTTCTCAGGTGTGCTGGCTGTAAAGTCACGGTGTATTTCTCATCACTCTTAAGCAACATTTGGGCGAACAGAAATTATAGCTTTGACTGAAGTGGGTATAATATATATGGCAATTATCTGTGTGCGAGCCATTATCTGGCTCACCCCTCGCATGTCAATACCAAACTACCACGTGCATCGGGTTCATACTTTCGCCAGTTGTTATGTACGTGTCCATTGTGAGTCATTACCTAGCTTAGATATTCCCTTCTCGCTGTGCGTTTGACAGCCCCTCAAGTGTGAACGTGTGTGGATAGCCTTGTACGCCTATGACCAAATCATTGGAAGGCACGCAATGTCGTGACATCTCAGAAGCCAAGCGGTTGACAGCCTGAACAGCACCTGGACATGTCACCACGATGTACAAACGAGGTTGCCACAGGTCCGTGTGGTGGCTACGTTGTGGGCAGTACAGAAAACTCCACTGTTGCACTGTACTTCCATGCCACCCACGTATATGCTCCCCGCCTTAACCAACCCGCACCGACTAGGGTGGTGATGTACGGTCAAATAACCCCACCAGGTCGCACAAACTTGGAGAGGCCCTCATCCAGCAGTGGATGGACTGACAAAAGAGCTGTAAGTGTACATAGACAAAGATCCCCCACATAGTCATAGACTGTAGGAGCAAGTGTTGTTAGCGAGTAGCACGCATGAAGGCTAGTACGGCACACAAGGGGGTGGGTGTCCAGTACCACGCCCGGCCACCTTTGTCTTCTCAGTGGTGATGTTTACACACCGCACCAGCTACTCATTTGAGGCTGAGTCCACCCTGGAGGAGGCCCAGGACCGGTTCAGATAATCGTCACTGGTGTTGGCCGTGAGCGGGAATCGAACTCGGGCCACCGAGTTCGTAGTGCAGAGCGCTCACACCGCACTCATGCTCCCCCACATACGTACTACGTACATTGCACTATTTTCACATGGAAAATAGTACGATCCGATTGCGCAACATTGGAAGTAGTGCACGAGGTCACCAGTATAAAGGCTCAAGTGACACCAACACAGAAACGCATTGAGGCCTAATTCGAGAGGTTAACGTGGAATTAAGAGGCATTGCTGCTGATGCCATCTCCACTCCATCACCCTTTTCGTATTACCGGGCACCACAGCCGTTGCAAAGTGCAAAGCTCATTTGCCAAGGTCTGCTCTTACAATATCCCAACCGTTTGGCTCGAGGTCTTATCCCTTCACTGCCTGCCAACCTCCGGTTAAAGACCCTCGGGGAGGGGCTTTAATTCATTCATTAATTTCAAGCACGGCTCGGTCATGACGAACTCGCGAGTAAACGCCCGGGGATAGGAGCGTGCCAAGGCTTACCTTATTATATCGCTCGCAGCCAAACTACGGCAGGAAGCGAGCGCTCGGCCGCCGCGCCGTTCAACTCCGCGGGCGCGTCCGAGAAGCTCCCGACGCGAGAGGCGCGCGGCGGCGCGGAGCGGACGGCCAAAACCCACGAGCAAGGTGGACTTGGCACCTGAACAATCGACACGAGCGTCTGTGCGTAGAGTCGTCGTCATATCGGCCACGTGCGCGAAATGTCACTGCCGCCGTAGGGGGGGGGCCCGGGGGGAGGGGTTGGGCACCTCCCTCCCCTCCCTCCCCTCCCCTCCCTCCCTCCTCCACCCCCTGAGTCCGGCAGTGTGCCCCGCGGTGTCCACTCGGCACGCGTGGAGCTGTCCACTGGGCCAGGTGCTGATCGCCTTGGCCGGTGTGGGAACCCACGCGGCCACTCAGCAGGCAGAGCGTGGCGGCGGCTGCTGAGGCTGCTGCTGCCGCTGCTGCTGCTGCGGCTGCTGCTGCTGCTGCCCTTATCTGGAGCCGCAGGGGCGGTTTCCGGCAGCCACGACGGAATCCTGCCACGTTCAGCGCGTCGACTCTGGCGACGCGGCTGTGGTTGTTTGCCGTTTTTTATTTTTGCTTGCGTGTGTGTGTGTGAGTGTGCGCGCGCGAGGTGCGTTATTGATTTATTTATGATCGTGTTTTTGCCGAATATACTCGCTCTGCCTACGTTACGTGCACGGCGCTGTATTCCCCCGATAGTGAGACGCACTCTCTCCACCCTCGCTGATAAAGAAAAAGTCGGGGGGGTGCATCGTGTAATTGAGCGTGTGTGCGTGCGTGACCGTGGCGAGTGGCGGTGCAGCGGTTGACGCGCTGCACTACCATCCCGGCGATTCGAGTATGATTCCCGCTCACAGCCAGTGATGATCACCTTAACCAATCATGGGCCTCTTCTAGGTAGCCTCAGCCTTAAACGATTATCTTGGACTTTGTGTAAACATAGGCACTCGGGAGGCAAAGGCGGCCAGGCGTGGTGACGGCCATCCACCTCCTTGTGTGCCATGCCGGCCTTCATAGGTGCTCGCTAACAGCACTTTACCTAACAGTATGTTAAGGCTTTACGGGGGATCTTTGTCTTCGTGTGTTTGAGAAGAATTGTATAACTGTTGACACGGGTCACACATTTCGGGTGCATCTTATTGGGCGCAGCATCTTATAATCTAGAGAATTCCCATATAAGTGGATGTGTGTCTCCATATGTATGCGTGTGTATATCCATATAAGTGGATGTGTGTATATCCATATAAGTGGATGTGTGTATATCCATGTGTATACTTTGATGCGTATACTTTGTCTTCAGCAAATTGTACTCTGTATATTACTGTGTATAATAATGACTATGATTTAATGTGTGTATGTAGTGCATGCATTATCTTTTATATATATGGAACGTTTATTAATCAACCTGAAATATACAGACAGAATATAGAAACAGATTGTCTGTTTTGGGGAAAATGGGCACATTATTTTTCACAAACGAATTCAGAGTGGGAACGATAAACACTCGCTCTGCGCACTCCGGCAATGCAAAACATGCCCTGCGATCGTCTTACATCAAATAACAACATTTACAATAACAACAAACTCACGACATTCAGCAATATCACTGCCCTTAAAGGAAACACGTATCATAGGCAATGTTTCAGATAACAGCCCTTCTTCATATGCCCAACAACGCCGCGTAATTTACACGCGTATATATATTCCCTGTTAGCGTTATTGGCAAACGCGTAGGGTTGTGTAATTCATGATTATGTGGCACTTTCCAATGCAGCAGTATCACAAAATAACGTAGTCCAATTCTAAACCAACGAAATTCAACGAGAAATTGAAATCTGCAAACCGTCCCCCCCCCCTCCCCCCACTCTTTCCCTCTGCAGCTACCACCAGCGTTGTGTTACGTGGCAGAAAGCTTGAGGCCGGTAACTCCATCTACATCGGTCAGACTCGCACAGACAAACATGTTGTTTTGGAATAGCTGTAGTGCTTACTGCTGTCTGTGGTGTAACGGTCGTGGGTTACTGACAGCTGATTTCTTATCATGACTGCCAAATGGGGCCTTGTGGTTGATCAGTTTTTTTTTGGCAATTTTTTTTTTAGAGGAGAGGGGCTGGGCTTGCTTCAAGCTCGGGAGAGGGTGGGTGGGTGGGGGGGTGGACGGCAGGACCAAAAGTCAAACAATAACGGAGTGTAACTAACACAGGGCGGCAGAGTGTGAACAGGTCTCACTCGGCAGTAGCGCGGGGGCAATCTGTGTCCGTTGGGAGTTGGGGGAGGTGTGCCGGTGTTTTAAAATCGGCGCTTGTGTATGTGTGTTGAACTTCTTTCACGCCGTGCGTAGCCAACCGTGCTAATCGGAGGTGCGGGGAAGGACAACAAAAGGTGAACCGTCTTTTGTGTGTTCAGCTTGTTGTCCTTCTCCCCCCCCCCCGCACCTCCGATTAGCACGGTTGGCAGTGTACGGCGTGAAAGAAGTTCAACATGCAGATCAAACAACGCGACACTATTGGCCATATGCAGGCCGGTGCCATACGGGGACAGCTGCCACTGGGGGCGCCCCCCTTGGCTAGACTGCGCCAGGACACCAGGAGGGGTTGAGGCGAGCTGTGATGTCAGGCAGATGCGGTGACCATCCCGTGGTCTGCAAGACCGCACCTGTGGTCCGCAAGGCCGCGCAGGAAGTGCTCCGTGGAACTGTTGCAGGAACTACGATTGAGTATTGTTTTCATTTCGAAAATCACGTGAGCGTTGGTGCCGCGGTGGTCTGCGAGAATAGTCTGAGGGTTGACTGCGATTCGTCGGCGGGTCCAGAGAAGCCTGAGAGCCACCACTGTAGGGCAGTTGCGGCGGCCGAGGAGCTTTCAGAGCCCGAATGCAAGGAGAAAGAAGTGAGATTGTCTAAAATGGGGTTGTGGTTTAATGAAGAATGCACCCAACGGAAGGAGCACGGCGTCTTCTATGTGTACTGTTTAGAGACAGCCAATCCCGACAGTTTGTGATGCGTGTCACTCTAGGCGTGCGACATCCCCCCCCCACCGCCCCCCCCTCCAAAAGAGAGAAGTGTGTGCCAACATTCCTTCTGGCATAATCACGCGTTGCATAAAAGCAACTCGCACCACCTGGCATGTCGGGCAGATTAATGCCCTGTATTGACGAGCGTCAACTGTGGCAGTCTTTCAGAGTCTCGACTTATCGCCCACTTGAGTCATGCAGGTTTAGCGCACTCAATAGCAGGCGAATTTTAATTGCTGCGTTAATAAAAAAAAAACCCACAAAGGGAAATTTTTTTGTTGCATGGGCTGAATTTTTTTTAAATAACAAAAATGTAGCATGGTGCAATCTGCAACGCGGCTGTTAAAATCGCTCAAACATTAAATAATTAAGTCTGAATGTTTAAGACGTAAAAGAGCAAGCAATGTCGTATTTTTTTTTGTAGTCCAGTGCTCTTCTCCCCTGACAACAGTCCCTTCCAAAGCCGTCGTCATTATTATTTCTCCAAACTCTTTTCTTGAGAACTGCATTTCGTGTTTAGTTTGTTGTCCTTCCCCCCGCACCTCCGATTAGCACGGTTGGCTACGTACGGTGCGAAAGAAGTTCAACATACATACTACAGCATTCTGATACAAGCATTCTTACTTAAACAATTCGCAAATCTAAATCGTATCGTTACGAACTGTATTTATATTAAAGTTTTATTTTGTTATTTTGCTTTGCAATTAATGTAGCACTTTGCTGCGTTAGTTGTTTTTGTATCCTCAATGGGTTCTGATCTGCCGAGTAAAACATTTTTTCCGGCCCTAACTCTTTATATTTTAATTGGATTGTAAAGTAAACTGAGAGAACGGACCTGAATTCACAATCCGCAAACCACATTCGCAGATGCATCGACAATGAGACAAAATCGTTGCAATTATTTGAGCGACGCGAATATAAACACGCCAGGATTAGCATCTACAAATGAGAGAATAGACTCGCACTGCGGTTTCACAGCATTGACGAGGAGCATGAACCATCGTCACGCAAACTCCGGTCATCCTCGCAGCCAGTGGCTTTTGGCTAACCATCGAACAAAAACAGTCACCGCATCGCGCGCTTTCAGATGCGCTTCTGCGGCCAGCTGGAACGCCCTTCCTTCTGATATTAGGACGCCACTGGAGCTACATACTTTTGAAAATATATATCGAAACCTCAATTCTTTAGAACTGCTTTTTGTGTTTGTTTTGTTGTCCTTCTCCCGCACCTCCGATTAGCACGGTTGACGACCTGTGGCGCGAAAGAAGTTCACCACACAAACACGTACATGGCCAGGCGTGGCTATCAGGCTCGAGACTGCCCCCATATGGTTAGAGTCTGCAGATGCCTCGACCAATGGGATGGCACCTGCAAGAAGATTTGTGGGCCTTCACTGTTGAAGGTCTGTCAGGTGTAATTTACGCTCCGTTTCACACGTCCCCTGGCCCTGCGTCCCCCCCCCCCCCCCCCCCCCCACAACCGCCACCAGCACGTCCACAATTCTGATCGCGCCTGCGACCGCAGCACAGATGGGTCGTGAACTCGGCCCCCTGTGTTTACGGATAAGGTCTCGGAAACATCGGCGGATAACCTCGCGAGGGGACAATGTTGGTGGTCGGAAAGGCCGACCAACGGCAGCTTCCTTGTCGGTGCGACTCGTGCCGTCAGGCGGCGGGGAGACGGACGGCGGCATCGGAGGCACATCCTCCGAGCGGCGCGCGCCGTGTAAATCCAAGTGTCAGCGTTCTGCCGGAGGGGCCCCCTCCGCGCGGAACAATCGCACGCGAGAAGCCGCGCGAAGAGGCCCGCGAGCTCCGAGAGGAGCGACGAATTTCCTTCTGGGGGCCGCAAAAACAAAAAAAAATTGGGCGGCTTGTTTTTGTTCCCGAATTGATCGATGTGTTGTTTAGAGCGGAGAAATGCCGTAAATTTGCCGGGGGTCCCCATCGGAACGTGCCAGAAGGGGGAGGCCTCGGCAGGAGCCGTATGCCAAATAAATAAAAAAACGCGGAGAGCTTCTGACGTTTGTGGCTTTTTTGGAAGCAAACTACTTGAGAAGGTCACGATTGTTTCGGCGCAAAGGTGAGTTCTTTCCCATGCCCCCCGCACCCCCCGTCACTGCGCCTCTTTCAGATTTCTCTAAACAGCGATGGCAAGGCCCCCATTACCCCCCTCGTAACCTCTTCACCCCCATCATCCTCGACCCTACCCCCCAAGCAGCACTCGCCCACCATCCACCCACTAGCAGTGGGTCTCCAGGAGCTACAATGCGACATAGCAAAATGCCTCTACCTCACTGTGCCGATGGGGGCCGACTCTCGCGGTGGCGCTCAACGTCGGTCACAGTGGCCCGGTGAGGCTCGGAAAGAACCTGCTGCGATTGTATACTTGAGTCGTTACACTACACACACTCGTACATCCCACCACCCCCCCCCCCCTCCCCATTTCTCGCAAGAAGAGCACACAAGTGCTGCCATCACATCTACCCCTCGAAGGAACGAAACAGGAGGATTCTACACAAATCTGGCTGTTGCCTGATGATGCTAGGTGTAATTACTGGCGAAACGTCGTACTCAGATTGTAAACGTTGTGGCTTTGCTCTGCAACACACCAACGAATTGGCACGTTCTGTTTACGTGACAACCCTTACTAGGTGGCTGTGTCGGGTGGCAGAATTAACGACACATATATTTACACGATCTAACCCAAAAAACCTGTATTATGGATATATACATCATATATTATATATGGTGGATCTGGCCATTGCTCTGTTTCAACAACGCGTGGAAGTGTAAATACTGCGCGCTTCTTGAAATCTCGCCATAGTGGCGAGATGTTAACTACCTCGCCTGGTATGCAGGAGGTCGTGGGTTCCATCCTGACCCTGACACCTGCTGCATATTTGGCCTTTGCATATTTCTCTTCCCATAGTTGCGTGAATTTTTCTCCAGGCCAAGTCGAGCTACCATTTGCGAGGTCGGCTTCTGCAAAAGAGCTACGTAGCGCAGTGGGCCTTCCCTAGTAAAATACAAATGGTAAATAGCAACAGAATGACGTTAATGGCCGTGTCGGGGTCGATATTGGCGTAACCGCCTTCGCCTACGGGAGCAAGCGTGGGAGAGCTTCCCCACGCGCTGCGAGTCTCTAATGTGGAGGTGGCGGCACTAAAATAGTGCGAGGAGTTTTCTTTTCCGAGCGCCGTGCCGTTGACGCTGGGGCAGAGGCGACGCGTGCAACTGGGCGGCGATGAATCACATTTCCCATCGTCCCCGTGGACGGGCAGAAGGGTGAGTCAGTGAGCGTGATGCGAGTTCAGATGGGCCAGGCAAGAGGTATCGGGAGTGTGCTTAACTGTCACAAGACCGTGAAACAAAGAGGTCTGCTCGGCACCGGGTTATGAGCCGAAGTCGTGAACGTTCATCGGGGAGAAATGTCGTCAACTCGCATATTCCGCTGACCTCGTTTGCCAGCCGATTCCGGGCTCCTCATCTTTGTGTTGTCGATCGCCGCACGCATGCTCGCGCTGTCCGAACGGCTTTACGATTGTCGGTATGATTGCATTCATGATTGTGTTCGTGATCTCATTTTACACTGTAGAACCATTTGCGTGGTGCGGCTGTGCGGGGGTGTAGCACGTCGCGCTACAAAATCTCGGAGCCCGAGTTCACAATTCCTAGCCACAACTCTCATCGATGACGAGAAATCCTCTCAACTGGTGCCGAGCACCCGCCGTCACGAAGCCACGCCGCTACCGGTGTGGTGAAGTATGCTCAAACGACCGACGCAGCATGGGGAAGCCGTCATCCAGCAGTGGATTGACTAAGAGCTTTAAAAAACTATTTGCGTTTTACACGAACCATTGGCATAGTTTGAGGAAAGATCACAGACCAACTTGATTCGGGCTATTTGCCTACACTTCCATCGTTTTGTTCAAGTCCACTAGCCAAAATCAGCTGGGACATTGTAAACCCACAAACGTTTTGTAGTATTTATCACCGCATGAAATCATCCAAGGGCAGAACCCACAATTCGCTTGGAGCCTAAAAACGCATTGGAAGGATTGAAACTAACGGTTGAAACTTACTTACTCGTCAGCAGACGAGAGGGAGTCAAGTGGACGTCTCCCCACGCTCACATTGGTTGTTGGGCGGGCAGCATTCATTCAGCAGTGGATCGATTGTGGCTGAGAGTACGTCGGTCTTCACGACCAATATCATTCATAATTAAAAAAAATTTGCGTTAGATCACCACGTAGGTATAATGCTGATGTCTCACGATAACTCTCCACCAAAAATAAGTTAATTGTGAATCACAATAATCATTGATGGTGGTGGTGATGCTCATCACCATTTGCCAGTGATCGAAATGCCATTTGTTATACGGTGCAGGTTGGTAGGGGGCGGGCTACTTTCCCCCTAGCCCAGGGATCAGCAACCTGCGCCTCTTCCAAGGACTGCCGCTTCTTGACGTTATCTATTGAGAACCACCGTCTCGTATTCACGTGCATTGCGGATCTTGAAATGTTGAAGGTTGTTTTTTTACTGAATTCGAAAAACATGGCTCTTGTTAGTTTGGTTGCTG